CCCGATTTGGATCATGAACAGACAAAAGCAGAGTTGATACAGCCTTTCACTCTAAACAAACAGGCAATTCTTAAGGCCATAGAATGCCTAGAGGCATGTTCAAGAACATAGAAATATTCATGAATAAAATATACAACTTTACTCTGAAGCAGATCTAAGGCGCAGTCAGTAACAATGTACCTCAAAAATATAAACCAGAGAGGAGCATGTAGACATGATAGTTTCGGATTCATGGACACAGGGGTTGTGCATGTATATGGCTAGAATAAACTCCCCCAGCATTTTAATTGTAACCCTCAATTCAAAGTAAAGCTGAATGCCAATTGAGAGCCGAATGCACAAGAGATCAACCCGCAGCAGAGAGCTGTGAGCGCTCAGGTTGCTGCTGCAGCTTAAAACATCACTGATGGCTGTTTCGCCCTCTGACTCACTAAATTAACTCCAAATCCATTTACCAGCGTTGCAGCTTAAGCCCTCTAGTTTGGTTTGGGTCTTCAGCGGTTTCTTCTAATTGAGTTTCTAGTAATTACCACAAGGCTAATGCATTGTAAGTGCCTTCTAAATCAGGGGTAAAGATTTTGTTTCAGACTACAAGTGCACACAGTGATTGTATACATCAGGGTGTAAGAGGGGCTTTGGGATGCGCGCGATAAAAACCTAAAAATAAAACGGAGATCCATACCAGACTCTTGTGAGCAGGTGCTCCCAAGGAGAGGATCATCATGCCTAACATGGCCTTGAACCACATTTTCCTCCCGTCTTGCTTCCCTTTTTAATCCATTATTTTTGTTTCAGATTGCCCAGCACAGGTAGAGTGGCTCACACTTGGCACCTGGCCCTTTGATCTATGCAGGTAAATTTGACATTACTGAGTAGGCTCCGGTTGGATAAGTGTACTAAAGGGGGAACAAATTGCCTCGATACCTTGTGTTACCAATTTCTGGAACTAGCTCCAAGAATATCAAAATGACTCTGAAGACGGTAGAAATAGTGAGGGCATTGTTGTTCATTATGCTCCTTTGACCTTTTATTATCTCTGTGCCTTTTTGTTATATTGTTGTGGTGGTGGTCACAAGAGAGTGAGAGGGAGCTTGCAAATGAATACAAGTCTTGCTTTCACTCACGAAGCTGCCTGCCTCTGAAGACTAGTTTAATTAGGCTTTAATTGCCTTATTAGCTGTGGCTATTGACGGAGGAGCGACAGCGGTGAGAGAAAAAGGTCAGGCAAAAGGAGGAAACTTAACAGGGTAAATAAACAAAGGTGGGTAAAGGGGTGGGTAGTGAAGAGGCTAAAATACACAGACACGCAAACAACAATGTATTCAAACTCAAATGTGCATGTATTGGTTTCACATTGTTATGGGAAAGAAATTCCTGGTGATGGAAAGTTTAAAAAAAAAACACACGTGGCTCAGATATATGACTACTCCTTCAAATACAGGCTCCGCGGAGCACCTGGGCAATTGACTCCTCACCCTGACCTCTGTAAGGCAAGGGAGATGGACGACGTGGAGGAGAGAGCTGAGAGCAGAAGGACGGGCAACAAGGAATGATGTATGAGAGGGAGAAGTGAAGAAAAAAAAAAGGATGAGCAGGTGAGGGGATAAGCAACACAGGGGAAATGTTGAGGAAGGAGAGGGCTACTGCTGGCCCTCTTCGGGGGATTCTGGTCTTGTATTCTCATGGAGAAGCAGTACTGAATACGCATAAGGGGCAGAATTCGGAGATTAGCAACTTCAAAGAGCGGTTGACATTTACATGAAGTCACAAAATATTCACACAACAAGCTTCATAATATAATGACTGCAAAGACTATCACAAGAATACACATTATCATTGCTGAGGTGCGAATTTTTCAAAAATAAACACAGAATGGCCCAAGAAGAAGTCTGTCTTTCTACACTCTGATCTTTGAAGTACACAAAAACAGGGAATCTGGGAGTTATTGTATTTCATACATGTGATTATTGATGGGAACGTTTAAAAAGTCAATAAGATGTGTTTCCCGATGTGTAAGCTAGTCCTTCTCCCCATCTAATCCACATCTTATAAGTTTTTGTTTGCTTTTTTTAGAATCACTGATTAAAACTCTGGTGCACGTTAATTTCATTTTAACTTTTTGAGCTGCTGACAGAAATCTTGCAGACATCTTTTGTTATTACTACTTCCCTGTGGCTAGCAATATAAATTTCAGATTTTGCTCCATGGAGAGGAAATCTTATGAAACTAAACGAGTTCAGGCCCAATGCACCGTACAAAAGACTAAAACTAGCAGCTGCTGTACAAGCCCAGCCAACATTTTAACTGCAAAGGCTTCACTAATCTATCTGTTGCTATATGCAACTCTGCCTATAGTCAAGTGATACTATAAAAAGATGCCAGTGGGAGTTAAGCTTTTAAATACAGAGGCAATGCACTGAGTTACCTTTCCACTTTGATACCATTTCATCTGTCACCTAAAGCACATACCCACAGACCAGCACTGTACGCACTTTGTAGCAATTATTTTGAGAAAAACAGACATTTGATTTGTATGTGCCCCCATGTTCATGCCAGTGTGAATTTGCATCCTTGCACTGTAGCTGTCACCAGCAACTATGTCTGTCTGCACCGGGGTGCAGCTGAATCGCTCTATCAGGGAAACTCAGGAGTGCCTCTTCTTCCCGTGCACATCATTCCCCAGCCTCATTAGAACCCATTCAGTCAATCAACCATGAATCTTTAACGCAATAACACGCAAAGTGCTTTGTCTGCGTGTAATTGGCCTCACCATGGCTGTTTTTCTCAAACAGTTAGCTTCACTCACCCCTTTCAGTCTGCAGCCAGAAGCTCCGTCCAAGGCTTAGTGACGATAGTGGGAAGAAAATGAGAGAAAAATGAAGGAAAACTAAAGTTAAACATCGGGGTTCAATATGAATTTTATGCATCCTCTATTGGATGTTTAGATATTGCTGCTCTTCCTCTCAGATTCAGTTCGTAAGGTTTTTGCATGTGTGCTCCTCCATCAGCTTTGGGAGTGGTTGTGCGGAGCTCTTGTCCATCACAATCCCATATGTTTCCCATTATCCTGATAAACCAGTTGACATCCTGTTTCCACACATGGAAATGAACTCAGCACACATGGAAGGAACAGCCTACATGCTCTCACACAGAGAGCCGTGACAGGAGATGGATAACACATTGGTGCAGAAATGCTGTGGCCTCATGTGTATCCCCGTGGGAGAGACTGTTTGTTCACTATGATGGGTGACACGGCTGACTGACACTCTTCTCCAGCCAATCTACTGAAATTGTGCTGTGACATTGTTGATTAAGCAGACATTCAGTGCGCAGAACGCGCGGCGTTGCAATGCAATGGATTCATTGGTGCAAGGAAATGCAATGGCATTCAGCGTGTGTGTGTGTCTTGTACGGATATTCTAACGTGCAACATGAGTGTTCCAAGGACATTTGACTGAATGAATCATAGGAACACATTTGACTTTTAGCTTTAGATGATTTTGGACTGGATACAGTGCCGCAAAGCGCTGAGATAATAATCAGTAGTCAAGTGCTGCCACCTAGTGACACAAAGGAAGGAATGTTGAACATTGATATGGCAACCTGCAAAAAACGAAGTGTCACATTTGCAATAAAACAGCGGATTAAACAAACTGTTTCTCTCCTCTTCGAATTTATTTAAAAAGAAAGGTCTTTTCTGTCCCAGCAGGACTGGAGAGATGCAATTTAATTTTTCCTGTAATTAAATACAAATGCATTCATCCTGCCGGTTCTTGCGTCTCCCTTTCACTCCATGCTGAATGTCTCAGCCTCCCACAGATCAATAGCTTTGTTTGTTTCAGTAGCACCTCCCAGTGTTTTTACTCGTCCCTTCCAGCAGGAAGTGAATTGGATGTCCTGTCCTGTTCTGCAGTTATGCTGTGAATCAAAAAAGCCAAATTAAATTGCCTAATTGGTTTCCTTGGGAAGGGTAAAACAGATTTAAATTGATTACCGGTAATGGCCTTTTGTGGAACCACATTGGCTTCTGCTGTTGCAGGAGGATTTAGCAAAACCAATTAATTTGACTCACCTCTTATGCGCCCTCCTTCTGTCTTCCTTTTGTTTCTGTCCGGGAGCTTTTTCATCTTTTGCTTTTCAAACTCTCTAATACCCTCATTCATATTCCCCAAAATAAAAGAAATGATGGTGAGAATGTCACTAGATAACAATCATTCAAGCTTAATTGGCTGAATACTGTCACACTGGGGGTTCTGATAGAACGGCACAGATATTTTATTTAGATGCGTAGTACATGACAAAAGGTTATTTAAATCTTTCTCAATTGCTTTGGCCGTGTGTGTTTGCATCCACGCTGCAGCTTGTTCTGATGCAGCTGTTGCTTAAGCTGAGGAAAGAAAGAATGAGACGTCAAGGTCACATTTAGTCAGACAAGCTGATTAAATCCTTAATATGTTTCGTGTCTTTCTGTATCCTTGCATCGGTGTTCCAATCAAATATTATCACAACCAGACCTAATGTGACATTTAGAATGGGCAAATTGCAAGGGCTTAATACAATTCCATTAATTACACTGGAGAATCTATTGTAAAAGATTAAAACAGATGTCACCCACATCAAAGTAGAAATCATTTAAAGCAAAGTCCCTTTTCTCCGGAAGGCTGTGAAATGTCTTAAGCCGAATTGAGAATGAAACATCATCTGTTACCGTCTTTCGCAAATGAGCAAAGGACAGATTTGCGTGTTGATCTTCTTCACCTTCATTACATGCAGTGAAATTAAATGCAGTAGCGCTGAATAGCCCATGACTAATGAAGAAAATCATTTGAAGCATTATATATTTATTTATTTATAGTTCTTTATGGTTTGCAGTAGAGTTAAGCAACCTTCTACTGCCCAAGGTTCAGTAGAGATGAGTGATGAAATTACTTAAGCACGGCTATTTACTTGGATTACAAGCAAAACCCCGTAAGCATTACAAATTACTGTAGAAAGAGGACCAGAAACCATTGTGGGATTATTTTACTTTATTTGTTATGGGTAATACCCATGTGTGTTTTTTTTTCTTTTCAACAAGCAGAACAGGTATCAGAAAAAGATTATGATGTTTTAAAGTCAGGAGTGCAAATTACGAAGGAACCCTAACAACCCAAGAGTGCAAGGTTAATGCACCAGCCTTGTGTGCTGCTGCATTTTTATGATGTTCTTGCACAGCTGTAAAATATTTCAGTCAGCATTGTTGTTTATGTACCACATTTTTAATCACGAATACAATCTTTCTATTTGTTATAAATCATGGAACGAGCACACATTAGGAGATGTCTGCATTTTTTTTTATTTCATTGTAAAACATTTCTTTACATTTTTTACAGTCTTAATAAAAAAAACTGCTACATTAGAAGTGCATCACGGCGTAGAGATGTACACCAATACCTTTATCTGAAGAAAAGAAACAAGACATTTTGTACCACGTATCAGCTGCTTGTTCATGGAATAAAAATCAAAGTAAATTAGATGTCACTATTCTCCCACCCAGGACAGTCTTCAACCTGCAAACAGACATAGGCAATCCATTGGTCAGCTATGCTGATCGTGCACGTGTTTTAGACTAATTTGCTGAGATTTATTGTTGAAATGTCAATTGTCATATGGCTTGCAAAGAAAAAAATGCATTGTAAAACCAAGTTTATTTCACCTTTTCAGACCAGGGGGTAACTGGCTGCAGTGGCGATACCACACTGATTGTTTTTATTCCTGCTCATCATGATGTATCCCTTGTCTCCCCATCCAAGACCCCAGCTATGGAAAGATACAAATTGCAGAAATGTTTCACCTTCATTTTGGAAGCAACACGCAAGAAGTCTCAAAGCTACTCTGTAAAAACAACAACTTAGCCTGTTTTTGCTGTGTTCAATCCCATTTAACAAGATTACTATTAGCAAGGGAGCAGCATGTGAATGAGAGGTATGATTTACCTGTTTTTGACCAGCCAGTAGTCATGTCCATTTTCCGTACCATACCCCACAGCCAGAACACCATGATCCAGATCTGAACTGCTGCACTCAGACTCATCATACACTCCTTAAGACACAAACACACACACATGGGTTAAACTCACTTGTTGATTGAATTCTTAAGTTTATCTTGGGTGTTATTTGGCAAATGTCAAATGGTTTTTAAATGCATCTACCTGACTCATAGAGCTGGAAGGAGGAATGAGAAGCATCAATGGCTACAGAGATTGGTCCGACAGTGGCCACAGCCTCCTTCAGAGCATCTTCATCTCCTTCACTGACATCAGTGTAGCCTGTGCATGTGGCACCGACATTACCAGGTTTGTAGCGGCACTGTCCATCCTAATAAAGACAAAAACCTGATTTTAACTCACCAACACACTGCTAAAAGCCAGTTAAATTAAAGACAGAAAACAGATTTTGAAGGGCAGCTCTGATTTTGGTATTAGTTGCTTTACTCTCAGCACGTTTCAATGTTGCATGCCATTACATATTCTGACCACAAGGTGCCAGTATTGTGCTCCTCGTTTGCAGTCTTCCACAACTGTTCACATTTTGTTTCTCCACCAGAGCCCTTACATGGATGCAAGTCGCTAAACTTTTAGTTTATTGGTGACGTCTGTAGGAATATCACTTTACTTATTCAGACCCATAACTGTTCCTTTACCTCTGCCTCGTAAGGGTAGGATTCCTCTGTGTCGATTCCTCCATTTTCTTTGATGTACTTGAAGGCGTTGTCCATCAGGCCGCCACTGCAACCCATGTTTCCATAATCACCGGAGCAGTCAACCAACTGCTGCTCACTCAGAGACACCAGCTTTCCTGTCTTCCTGAAAGTCTGGCCCTCCAGTGATCCAGTCTAGCAGAGGAAAGAATTTTAAGCCTGAAAAGAGTCAAGTCTGGCGGCTTACTAAATGTTAGGTTACTCTTGTACGCACTGTACTGAAGGCCCAACAGGATCCGCACTGCTTCTGATCTTTGACATCGGTAACAAATCCCTTGTCCCTCCAGTCGACAGTTTTGGGCAGATCGGTAAGCTCAGGCTGGCGGAGGAAGGTTGAGCCATGACGTGGCGCAGAGGCATTGAAAGAGTGCAGGCAGCCCTTAGAGATCAGGAGCTTGTACTCCTCATTTTCCTGGCAAAGAGTTAGCAAATTCAAGTTGAGAATCCCTATTCATTGTGCGTCTACACAGTCATTTCGATATATCAAACTGCATACAATTTCCCATAAGCTGTGTCGTAACAAATACCAACCACGTGTGTTTTTCTGTTCATACCATGTCAGCAAAATAGGTCATGCCAAGGCGGTAGGATTTGATACCCTGATCTGCCATGATGTTGTGCACCAGAACCAGTTTACGGTTGCTAAGCCAGGTTTGCTTGCGCTGAACTTCCTCTGATAGAGAGCTGTAAGATTTTCCTGCCGACCACAGAATTAAATTGTCAGAAAAAGAGAGGAAGGAGAAGCACACTTTTACTTACCTTATCATCTTAGTTTAGGTAAAGGAAACAGCAAGAGCCTGTGATATATCTCACCAAATTTAAGTTTCCAAGCGTGGAACTCCAGGTCTTCCAGGCTGATGCTGGCACAGCTGGCCACGACCAGAACAGCAGCCGCTACGAGCAGCAACTTCATCTTGACTGAACAGAAAATACAAAGATCACTTGTGACTTAAAGGAAACCGCACAGGTTGAAGGTGATGTCTTTTATCTCAGCTTTGCTGCACAAATGTTTCCTGACATGATTTTTGATGTCAAGACACAGCTCTGTTTCTCATTTTCATATCTCCACCCAACTTCCTCAGGCTTCAATGTTGGTTTAAAGCAGAAATGAACTGGTATTTTTTCTCTGTTTGGTAAGTGTGCTTCAGCCACTTACCTTCCTCTGTGTTGGTAGGTTTGATGAAGACTAAGGTTGAAACACCTGCTTGTGAGACAGCTGTTCTGGGAGCTGTTCTGAGAAGTACTTATATACAGAACTGCAATTATGACAACCATATTCCAGTCAGGTGACTGTCAGCAGCTCATAAACAAAAACTTTGTGAGTCAATCATTTTACAGAAAAGGGTGGAGCTAAGAAATTAGAACATGAATATGAGCATGAGCATGATCAACCATCATGTTAAACCACAACTGAAATAAAATTCCATTATAATGTTTAATGCTCTAACTTTTGATGACAGCATGACCATGTTCATGATCACGAAAGTTTATAGTTTGACAAAGTCAGAAGAGAAATAAATTGTCTGTGTGGTTACATTTTCCAGAGAAAACCACAGCTGGGAGTTTTTAAATTCTTTTAGTGCAGTCAGACCTGAGGAGCTTCCTGTCAAAACAACCTTTGAGCTAACACTATAAGCAATAAGCCATGGCGGTGCTACTGTGTGCTGTCTGAAACCTCATAAGCAAACTTTTGACACATTGGAAACTTGTGTATGTAGGTAGTTAGGAAGTTTTGATCTATAGCAAAGGTAGGATTGATTTCGTCTGCCTCCCACTCAATGAAACCTGAGTGATTTCCATGAAATGTCAGGATTTAATTTAAGTGTTCATTTATCTTCCCTTCTCAAAAAAATCTTGATCTAAATAATCTCATGATGGGAACACACTTGTAAATCAACCAAACAACACAGATTGTGTTTTTGAAACACTGAGCACAGTGCATTGTTTCAAGAAAAAAGTACTTTGCAGTTGTTATTGAGTCGTGACTCATGGTTGTTTCCATTCACGGTTGTTCATGAGTTCCTATCTTTTTCTACATATTGATCTATTGTGTTTTAAACCTAACTGTAAGAACTGTAATGAGCCAATCTCTCTGATTTACATTGCCAGGAATCAATGTCTGAACTGAGAAAAAGGCGAGTAACCACATTTAATCAAGAGGAAAATGAAGAGAAATGTCAAATGGGAGTTAATGTATCAGTTTATCATATTTTGCCCTGGAAATGGTGGCAACAACTGTTTGTAATTGATCTTTGAACTCTTTTTCTGTCAAAGCAGCATATCACAAACTGACATCTGACTACCTGTCTCATGGATGGTCACAAGGCCTTTAGTGTTATAACAGTGCTTCAGACAATAAAGTTGCTGTGAAATGGTAAAAAACTGAGACGGTAGCTCAAAGTTTACAGATGTCATTTAACTCTTTTTGCTCTGGATCTTCCTCCTTTTGATGCTCATCTCCTACAAAAACTAGGTTTGCAAACAAGGTCCTTTGCATCGGAAAGAGCAAATAGTTAGTTTTGCAATGGCTCTGAAAGGAAAATGGGTCAAACTCCCTCAGAGACATACATAATTGGTATTATTTTTTATTAATATACGAGGAATTATCATAATTTAATTATATATAATTCATCCAACCTTCCTTAAGATAAAGTAAATCAGTAAATAGGAAATTTTGTGCTAAAATATTGTACGACAAACAAATGCCTCCTGGGGCTGACATACTTGTCATCTGGAAACATATGGAAATAACACAAATTATATCTTAAGAATATTTTCTTGAAATTGATATTTTTAAAGCAAAATTTTTTTGTGTTTTCTCTTTATGATTGATTTGTACCAAATGAGTTCTAAGAGATTGGTGATACATGAATCTACAAGGTCATGCTGTCTGAGGGTAAATCCTATGCATGGAGGGGCTCGTCAGAGCTCTCAGAGGATTTCCTGAAGCACAAACTGCAGTAATACTTCATGCTTTTATACAGAGAAGAGTGTTTGAAGATGTTTGTTTATCTTGCACATCATCCACAGAGCTTTACATCATGCTGTGTTCTTCAGATCCAGTTTCAACCGAAACTCCCATTTCCATTTGTTAAACCCTGTGCCATTTTTTTCAGAACTAGTTTGTCTACTCTGTGGTTAAGTGTGACAAGCACGGCTGCTCAAATACGTTGTGAGTCCGTTCATTTTCTTTTAAGTGATCCCTGTTCCTCTAATATAATTTCCCATCTGTGTGAATACTTAGCTTTTTCCTTGAGTCTCTTCTATTAGATCTTGATGAAGACAGACGGAGCCCAATGTTCCTCAATTCAGAGCATTCTGGTAATAACATGTTATCTTTATAACCATGATCAAACAAACATTCTTAAATGGAAATCACTAATATACCAGTGATTAAAAGTATATTAACCTTGCTCTGTTGCTCTGAGATTGATCTTTGAACACGAAATTTTCACAATGCCTTTGAGGGGATGTTCCTATAAATAAGAATTTAAACTCATGTGCAGAATTGCATGAAATTGTCAGTTAAGTAGCTGCTGGTGTTGATGTTTTGAGAATGTAACACAACGAAAAGTGCAGTTTGGTTTAAGTTGTTACATTTTTATATTTGAGTTGGTAAACCTCACTCAGAATGTCCTTGTTTTTAAACTGAAACAATTGAGTAATGGGGAAAAGTTGGGAAATGTTGGCCAGCAGTATCAACAAATTTGTTGTGACTTAGAAGTTAAGTGCTGTGTTATATAGCAAAATATCAAGTAAAGAGCCAGGAGAAGTGCAAGAACCAAAGATGCACTGTCCAAGCTCAGTGATGGAGGTTTGCTTCTGTTCACTGAAAAATAGATGGAGTTAGAACATATGAGAATATTTTTAGCACATGTGCAAAAGAGGTTGCAAGAGCTACTGAGCTGGTTCTGCTAAGCCAAAACTGAAAGTAACTGCGTTGGAGGAAAAAAAAAAAATTCTGTTTTTCCCACCACTTCCATTTTATGAAGCACATGTTTTATTTGTAACATCACATAATAGCTGTCACCTAAACACCAAAGCAACAGGTTAATCAATGCTTTCTTCTTCAGCCAGTTAACAGTTGAGTGCATCATTCATAAATAAGAGGGACTAGAATTGAATGACTCATCTCTTTATTTAGGGATGTTCTTCATTTTCTAAAAGACTGAAACAGCTGAGTTGATCATTTGTTCTCAGGAAATACCCCTGAAAATGTTAAGGTTACAGTAAGAGGGTTGTACTTATGATATTTCTTAGTAATATTTCTCCAATAGCAGGAATTCAAATGCACATTTTGAAAATCTAACTTGAAGGTTTCATTCAGTCTGACGGTTACATAACTGGAATAAAATATCCATTTGATTATAACTGACTAAAGACACGTTGGTATCATGTTACACCTGATAAGAGCAGCTTTCAGCTGATCACAGTGGATGGAGTGAGTTGATGGTAACTCTGGTTCCCTCCCGTCAGCTGGCTTTGCTTTTGCAGTGTTAAAAACACACCAGGAGATGGCGGCCTTTTCACGGACTGTCCTCACGTGATCGACATCTCTCCAAAGGAGAATGAAAAGGAGAATTTGGTAATGTACATTTATTCAGTAACATTTTGGATAGCCTGCACTTGTAAATTCTATGCAACACGTGTGTTGCTGTTATCTGAGTATCTTTATAAAAAATTAAAAAAGGAATGCTTCGCTGAGTGAGTTACACTGAACAACATTCCGTGTGTTACTTTTTAAAACTTTTTTATCTAAAAAAAACTATTTTATCATCTGCCTGATTGTTTTGGTGTTATCGAAAAAGTACCTCGAAAGTTTCCCTGGCGTGACCAGCGTTCACCAATCAGGCAGCGTCACGCAGTCACGTGACGACCCTCAGAAGCTCCGCGCGGCTTTGCAACCAACGAACAGCCGAAATGGAGGAAGCAGCAGAGGGAAAATCAGAGCCACGAGGGGCCCCACGTTCAGTTTATGCTTACAATAACGTATACTGTACATTAAATTCGGGTCAGTTTGCCCCGCCTGAAAAGTTGATCTGTCATAACTTCTGTTTGTAATTACCTGAAAATGACACGATGATTGAAATGGTTTAAAATCAGTATCCTGAATTCAATCTGCTTTTTTATCTTCTTTGTACCTTTCATCATAACTATAGTGAACAATTCTATTTAATTTCACTGAGATATTTTTACTCTTTAAAAAAAGATGTCGATTTTTTTTTTGTTTGATGAGAAACATAATCAAAACAAGGGTAAAATGTATCAGTGTAGGAACCAAAACAAATTATGTAGAAAATAAACTTTAATATTTTTGCTCATTAAGTAAGAAATATTTCTTGCTATTCTTACCAGTAAGCAAAAACTATTTCTTGCTTAATAGGCAAGAAATATAAAAGGACATGGTAAAATGATTTAAGATTCTAAAATAACAACTTGAAAAGATACCAGGATGGCTGGAATTTCAATCTGAAAAGAAGACTGTGCTTGACAAACTGCTCTCATTTTATGACACTGCATGCTCCCTCAGTTTAAAGCCAAACACATAGTTGGCCTCGCTCAAGAGGGCGTCAAATATAATGTTGCAGCCCCTAAATTGAGACAGTTGCGTAGACCAGCATGCTTTATCACATAATCTTATTATCGGATCAATAACAGAACAACATTTTGAGCATTGCTGGGATGGCTAGCTTCTCTGGTTACACATTGTTGGCATTCACCAGTGTTCCCACTTTATAGGTGACAAAGTGTGAATGTGAGCAGGAATTCAAATGGAAGGCCTTTAAAATAAGATGAATAGTGTAGAGTGACCTTGATTAAATCTAAAAGTGTGACTATTTTATAGATAACGAAAAATCGACCTTCACAAAACCTATGTTACCTACCTGTTTCACTGTTCCCAAAAGGACTTATTAATTTTATCTAGAAGTATTAAAATGCCAACTTCAATTATGTACAAAGTCCTATATGTAAGTGTCACTTAAATATTCAAGTGATCTGACAATGTATCATAAAAATATTTATTGACATTAACACTGGACAACAAAAATGAGAAATGCAAACACACACAAAAGACCATAATATTTAGAAAGTCCAAATTCAAAACATCTTAGAATGACAGAGGAATAGAACTAAAATGGAACATCATCAAATTGAAAATACAGTCTCATCTGATAGGTTTCAGGTTGAATGGTGTTTGATATGCTGTGGATAAATGACTATGACAATATTCTGACAAGAGCTGGGCCTTAGACTCCACCGAAAACAAGTGGCATAGGAAGCCCTATAACCCGTCCCTGTCAGGAAACACAATAAACTGAACCACAATCATTTCAGAACACTGGCCAAAAGATCATCTGAGAAAAGCACATTAACACCAATAAATAAAAACATTTTATTTCAGAGCAAAATATCATTAAAAATAAAAACCAAAAAAGGCCTCATGTTGCCAGTCACAAAGCATAAACCAGCATGATTTTTGCTCTTGAATCGCTGCATGCTGCATTTGTGAAATGCAGATAAGTGGATAATGAACAACGACTAGACCGACAGAGCCAGAAAAGGAGATAACTGGGGACACTGGAGAAAAAACCCCACTCGCTGCTATTTATCCCTCTTCCTCTCTATTCATCCCTCTGTTTCTCTGTCCCCTGTGAAAGTCTGGTGTGATCCTGTCTCTCCGTCCAAACAGGTCACTGCAGCGCTCACCTTGCCAGGGTCTGTGTTGCACAGAAGATGAAGAAAGAGAGAGCAGCAGCGCAGGTTGTAGCCAGTTCAGACACCCTGTTACTCCCTCTTTCCCTCTCCGCTTTATCTCCATGGTGCACACATGTCGACCTGGAGCAAGGCTGTATACTGGCAGGAGAGGCTACGAGCAGAGGGATGGGGGTGGATAGATGTGGATGCAGTGTGTGGGGGGGATAAAGGGACACGCTGCTTCAATAGCGGAGCAGGTCCAGGGACTAATTGGATCTGGTAATGGCAGGTCAGTGTGACTGAAGGGCTCGTTAGAACCAGTATAGCTCCTTGCCTTTCTTGTGCTGCTGAAGGCCTGAGGAAAGAAAAAGACAGGGAAACAATGAGGACCACAACAGTGAACAACAAAACACAGGTTGTCATGGAGCCTACTTTAGCCAAACATCCTGTTTGAAAGGTGGGGGGGGGCAACTTCCCTGATGATTATGATGTATTGTGTATTTGTGTGTAGCAACAAGGTGTTCATGGGGCAGATTTACATAGCGTGTTTGGATCTGTGCATGTGGTTCATGCAGTTAATTGGCACTCACAGTTTAAAGGTAATAACAATTTTTGTGTGTATGTTAGTATGAAGCGGTTTACCTTCTTCTTCATTTTATAGATTATCTGATTAAATTAACTGAAAATTGTCCACTCCGATTGTGAAGCGTTGTACCAACTATAAGGTTGTTCATCGTGTTTTTGCACATGATGATCTTGAGACGGACGTACCTGCATCCATGTTGAGTGCCAGAGTCTGGCTGACATCTCCAGGGGGGAGCAGACTGGGCCATGAGGCAGAGTGCTCCAGCTTGCTTACTTCGTAGTGGCTCGGCAAGGTGGGGAGATGCGGTGGCCTCACAGTGGGCATGAGCAAGGGCCCGTAGTGGGGCTCCAAAGCTGAGGGGGAATACAGTTCATGGAGGGGCCGTGGAGGCCCATAGGCCTGGGCCTGAGAGTATCCCCAGCTCTCCGGAGGGTGTGGGTGGGCGTGAGGGTGAGCGTGTGGGTGAGGATGAGCGTGTGGGTGAGGGAGGCCTGGATGTAGCCCCGATGCGTACGGGTCCATGGAATAGGAGGGCGCACCCGTCTCACAGTGGGGGCGGCTCTGGGGCGACGTGTAGCTGCTGTCCCAGAAGGACGGGGGAAAGCTTCGCCGACTACTAGGTGACGGAGTGTCTAATGGGGGAGGGAGAGAGCGTAAAGGGTGGAAACACGGGTTAAGAATGATCACTTACAAACCGAGTCAAGAACAGCTGCAACGCTATGTAGTGAATCTCTTGATTTATAGGCGCAAATGCACACGCTGGAGCTGTGCAAGAGGGGCAACGTGTGCAACAAAACATAGATGTCACTCACATGACTGCTACACCCTCTGGCCCAGATATCTTCCCCATTGGATCATGCTGCCACACAGCCCTAGCCCCAACAAGACACAGAAATAAACACAACCACGTTCTCGCAGACAGAGCAAGTGAGAAAGGGAGAGCAAGGTAGAAAGAGAGACGTCCCCATATCCAAGAATTCTATATAAGGCAGACGCTGTAACCTGGAGGCAGCCCAAGGCTCAAAGGGTCTTAAATCACTTGCTATGGTGACACCTCTCACTCTCATGTCAGCCCAGTACTGCTGAAAGTCTACCGACTCACGAAAGCAAACACTCGCTCACACACACACACACACACACACAGATGAGCAATTCTGGCCCCATGTTAACACCCACTGCCCCTCTCTCTTCTGTCTTTCGCACCCCCACCTGTTGTTTTCTCGGCCCCCTCCCGCGCTCTCCTCGCCCTTGACAAAATGTCAGCAAGCCATACTATGTTTTTAGCTGTATCGTTTTATATTTAGCTATTCCTCTGAAAAAAGACACCATGCTTCACCCTAGGAGGTAGTGTTTCCCACTGCCCCTATCACGCTGACCGCAACACATATAAATCTGACTGGCAGGCGGGCAACTGACTGTGCAACCATTGTGGGGCAAGAGCTGGAGCAAGAGTCAGAATGGCAGCCATGGAGACGTTTAAAGGGGATACGCCAGCGAGGCTGTGCGCTTACGGCCGTGTATAAACATAGCATCTGTTGTGAGGCAGGGAGCGTGCCTCGGTACCAAAATGAAGACATTCGGGCTGAACCAGAAAGGAGACCACGGCCGTGGCAGCACGAGGGAGTGAGTGGAAGCTGCAGGCCCTACATGGCTATTGAAGGGATATCCTCAACCTGATAGCAGAAAAGGGCTCCAGGAGCTTTTCAGTTTTCTTCATAGTGAAATCAAAGTTAAGCAAATCTAAATATCAGACTTTAGCATAAGATAATATTTTAACCCTTATGAGTCTCACCGGTTGCCAGGGTGCACATGTGCGTCCAGAATCTTTTATCCAGGCTGATCATCTATCTGTGTTAACCTCAGATTGTTGAATAGCCATCCGAAATTACCAACGCAAAAGACTGCGTTCTATTCTCTGTCTTTTAAGTTTTTAGCCCATCCGGACTAAGATAAGTCCTTGTTGTCTGCCAAAAACTCCTGACCTGCATGACCTTTTGCCCTGACCTCTTCACATACAACAGTTCCCACAAGCAACCCTTCAGTCATGTCACCTGATCACATCACCTGTCTCCCCCTCTGCTGTGCGCTGCAGGGATTCGGACTCACCCTGTGTGGCCTCAAAATGACAAGATACCATAACTTTGATGACTCTGCTTCCTGTCCCCAGAGCAAAAGAGTAACCATCTCATCTCAATTCTAAAACGGAATTTATTGGGGGAAAGAATCATTGTAAATTATTTTAAGGGAAAACTCATCTAATTAGATTAATAAACTTAAAACAGATGTTGCCTTTTTCTCATTCACTTACCACATTTTTCCCCATAAATTGAGTTTGGACATAGATTATTTCGATTTGTGTTTGGATTTCATGGAGTCTGGCCAATCGATTTTCTGTCATTTCCAATTATTGAACACTGTTTTTATTAATTTCAATGTATTGTGTAAAAAAATACCTGAGATGTGATGTAAATTTGTGTTACTGACAAAAACAAATGTACTGCTATTGCATTCATGTCATATACCTGTGGCCTGTTGGTCTGGCACTCTTCGCTTGCCCTCTCCGTCCATGTAGGAGCTCAGGGCCCTGGAGAAATGCTCATCGACCACGCTGCTGATGTCTCCCTGGTAGTAGGTGAAGAGTACGCAGCGAGAAGTCAGGTATTCTGCCTCGGGGGCCTCTTGCTTCTCCTTGGGGCCCTCCTCCGGCTTTGATGCCGCAGGGGTGTAAGAGGAAGAAGAAGAGTTGGATGAAGAGGATGAGGAAGTTGATCCTCCAGTGCCTGGGCCCCCAGACATCCCTTCGGGAACGCTGGGAGTGTCCATAAAATCCCGGCTGCGCGGCGAAGTACTGCTCAGACCTGTGGGAGCCTGTTTGGGGGGAGGTTAGGAGAAATGGGGGGGGGGGGTTGCGGGGACAGGGTTAAGACAGGTGTTACAGAGAACACTTCTGGAGCTGAGTTTGAGACATTTTTTTTTACACTGTGTTTTGTGTGTGATTGCGCAGGCATATGTCTGGCTTCGCGCAAGCAGGAGTGAGTCCAAAGAAATACAAAAGATAACTGAAAAACTACTCGTTAATATTCCTTTTTGAACCCTAAACTTTTTAAATACAAATTTTCAAAACAGGAAAACTGCCTAAGCACAATCTTATCTCAGGTATTTTTCTGCAAAAATGAATAAAGGTATAATTTATTAGCTCACTTCCTACCTGTAAGCTATTGATAAAAGCGGGAGCAGTCGGTGCGTACGCTGCGTAATGTCCATAGGCTGGGTACATAACATCCAAACAGCTCATGGTAAATGAGCGATGCCGTCACTGTTCTTTTGAAACCGACCTTAGTGAGCGAGAGTGCGACAGCATTTTGTCTTTTAAGCCGAAGAGAAAACGGGCTCAGTGATCCCGGAGAAGCGTAAAAAAAGCCCGAGCCAGACTTGACATAGCCACTCCAGAAAGAGCGCACCTCTCAGCTCACTGCATGCGCCAGAACAGCTGCGGTGGCAAAATGCGGTGAGGTTTATGAAGCAAGCATCAGGGTGTCCTGTCCTGTACATCTCTGTGTCAACCCCTCCCACGTTCTCCAGCCTCTGCCCCCCACACGCACACATTATCAACCCAACAGCCCACTTCCATCCATCGCATGTGCTATCAGTTTATTTATTGCTTACCTGCAAACAGATTTCTTCATTTAAAAGAGGAAGATTAACCGTCCAAAATATAAAAGCATGGGGATTATGTATATCAGAAATAATAAATTAGGTCAAGATGAGGGAATGCAAAATTCCCAGTCAAATATCAGACACGGTCAAGAGTGTTTTCCTGTCAAACTTCTGACTATTTGTGCCCTGCCTACACAATATTTTATTCCTGGTGTCAAATTTAGTTAAATTTGTCTTCCATTTAGACAAATAGATTAAGACAAGTCCCTCAGCTAACCAGCTGGACTTTTTATGAATCCGTGCGCTTTGGACGCTTGAAAACTTTGCGCTCAGTCCCTGAAAGTGTATCCATGGTCTTTAAACAGCCATCGGTTGCCAAGTAAACCCTCTAGTCATCTAAAGTATTTAGTGTGTTCCCAGAATGACACATAGGTGTCAACTATAGGTTGCATACACTGGTCATACCAACATGGAGGAGAAAGGGACTCTGCACAAATCTATGACAAATTATCACCTATCAGCAGAGCAAACAGAAGATATTTTCACACAGACACACAAACATACCCAGTGACAATCACAAACACTGCAGGAGTGCCAAATTCATTGCATATCCATATGCAAAAAGGCTTTAAAAAGATAATTAATTACAAAAACAAAGAAGATACATGTTCTTGAAGGCATTGCCTATTTCTCCTTTTTGCAGGTTCTTGGAGGTTAGGCATGCCAGTCTTTTTGACAGGCACTTCAGAACGCCTGGGAGAATAGTGTGGAAAATTTGCAGAATTCCATGGACGAGTGTCAGATGAGGTGGAATGTCTCTGATGTATGCTAGTGGACGAGCTCCTCTGGAAGTTACATCGTCCCTCTGCTGCGTTCTCTAGATGGAGAACATGACCAACAACTTGCTACGCATACATCACACATAGTATGAATATCTGGAAGCAGGTTATTGGCATGCTGATGAATCAAACATGCTCCTAAATAGCAGTGGATGAAGCTGACAAGCAAGCTCGTGTTTTGACCTGTTGCATCGTCGTTTCAAACTGATTTTACAGTGCATCTCTGCAACAGAATACTTCTGATATGGCACTGACTATTATAGAAGCATCATTGTCAGTATTTACATCAAATCATGAATAATGTTAAGTATGTAAATACACTTTTTAAAGGGACCATTAGTATTATTATTGGGGCTCTAAAGCTACTTTAGTCCATTACCTTCGTAGTAAGATGTGCAATACGCGCCACTAGATCCATAATTATGCAGGGTAATGTAGGACAGCACAGGAGTCAGGGAGAAAGAGAGTGATGCAATGCCAGAAAGCTCACTGTTACACCAGCGTGATCAACAGCTGCAGCTGACGGAAGGGAAGAGAGACCACTATTAGTATTAATGGCCATGACAAAATGTCTCTGTCTCTCCGTCTCTCTGCCTCCCACTGGTCTTCCCCTTGTGATACACAAGCATTTTCTCCACATGTGTGAATGCACCAATGAGAACGCATACATAGAAACACGCAATACTTTTTCATCTTACCGAAATTCGACCATTTGGCATTGTGCTCAAAGCAGTATTTGTTTGTGACCCCGGACAGTGCATACTAAAAACTTTGCATGTGAAGAACAGTATGTTCAAGAGCCCTCAGTTGCTCTTGTATGTTTCTGTGCACAGTTCTGTGTGGAGGTGTCTACATTTACTTGTGTACGCTGAAAATAAACACAGGTTACATCACTCCTTGTGACCCCTTCAGCACATCGAGGCCGCACCCCCCTTAAAAAAGGTCCGACCAGACAAGTCTTTCATTGGCTGAGATGTTGCAGGCCAGTTGAGGGAGTAATAGCAACCTGGCTTTATTTAGACCACTATTCAAATTGCAACATCACCATTAATAGTTTATAATATTTGCTAAATATGCCAAAATACATTAAAGAAATACCTATACATGTGTACAAGTACTGTCAGTACTTTATAAGACCTTTAAAGCTATATTGTCAGACATAAAGTAACTTTATTGGAGTGTTTCATCATAAGTCTTTTTTTCTAATGGTTAATTTGTGATGGTCTTTTAAGTGGGGCTAGCTGCAGTGTGAATCTGAAACCATATAAGCTACCTCCTGAAACAACAAGCCTTTTATTAAGGTCTCAGTGTGGCTTGGTCCCAAGAGGGAGAGACATCGGGATTCCACTGTTGTTTATGTGCCTCACTGTGAATGTGTATGTGAGTATATGTCCAACAGATAGATGTACAGCTGCCCCGTTGTCCAGTTCCACAAAACTCATCTCAGCTGTTCAGAATCATCACAGAGTGTCATCAGAAAGACGTGCTGGCACACACACACACACTCACAAAGGGCCACATATGGACAGGTCTGGCTCATTCAACCTTCTACACAAATGTTGGTGATAAATCCTCTCTGATAGAATGTGCAAGTGTGCAGCTATTTTCTTCCCTAAACAACTCGCCCATTGTCCTCACAGACCACCAAGATTCCACAGACCAGAAGTCCACTTAATGGGAAAGAATGCTGAGGATCACACTTGCAAAATCCATGAAATGAGAAATTGTACATCTTATTTTAATGCATTTTTAACCATTACACACCTAAATAATACTATTTCTTGAATTAATTAAATCCAACATTTAGGGAACCATTTCTTTAAATTCATTTTAAAGGGTTTAAGATCAAAGAGATAAAATATTGTCCCTTTATTTTTAGTCTAGCCTCAGACAATGAAACAGCAGGGAAGCATATTTTTATTTGGTTGTGATAAAAAAAACAACTTCATCCAGGATTTTAAATGGAGACTGATACTATGTCAGATATTTATGTGTGGAGCTTTTTTTAAGATCTCTCTGAAAACATTTTTATTTTTAAGATCCTATTCATATCTGACTGTAAATAATCTTTAATTGTAGTTGAGCAACATGCATTTAGATGCTGTTACTTTCAGCTTACACCAAATCCATTGAATACTGTGTACTTATCTAAATAACTTAAATTTAAATAAATTTCTGTAAGTTTATATGTATGTTATGTTTAAGGCACCATCGCCCTCGAGGCAAGAGGGTTCTGGGTCCAAGTCCCCGGGGGAACCAGGAATTTTCTATGTGGAGATTGCATATTCTCCCTGTGTCTGTGTGGGTTCTCTCCAGGTTCTCCGGATTCCTCCCACCGTCCAAAAACCTGCATGTTAGGTTGATTGGACATTCCAAATTGCCCTTAAGAGTGAGTGTGAGTGGTTGGCAGACCGTGAGTGTGAGTGCGATGGACTAGCAGACCGTCCAGGGTGTACCCCGCCTGTCGCCTCTGAGAGCCCATTTGGGAATAAGCGGTTCAGAAAATGGGTGGATGGATGGAAGATAAACTTTATTGATCCCGTGAGGGAAATTCAGTTTCAGTACAGTCCGAACCAAGAGCAGACAACGGACAAACATACAGGATCTAGAAGTACTTGGGGCAGCAGTCAATTATTTAATTCAATTGACTAACTTGAATAAATAAAAAACAAACTTTTAAAAGTTTACGACTTGTGGAGACAACATTTTGTACTACTTGTCGACTGAGATGTGATTTTTGCCGTTGGAAACAAATAATTACCAAGCTACGTTTGACCTGGTTTTCACATATTTGAGGAGAAGACACGAAAAAATGTTTGTTAAATTCTGTCTGCATGTAATGACAAAGACTTTTTGTATTAAAGTTAATAATAATAAAGCAAAGAATCCCAACATTTTACATATTCAACAGTAATATTTTCAACATACTGCTGAATAACCTATCTCATCAATGGTATACTATGCTATCAAAACCTTCAGAACTTAAATGTAATACATCAAAAAACTACTTTTGTGCTTTTATACTTCCACTAAATGAAGAAAAACAGAATAGTGACAGCTGGCCAATACTTTCTTTTGTTTTTTAACTGCTGCGAATCACCTTGAGTTGAAGAGCATACTAAAGACCACATGACAGTGAGCATCCTAACAGGTAACAGCTCACTGGATATTAAAGTCTAACCTTCTGAAATGGACAGAATGTAAATAAACGGCATCCTTTGAGAGGCTGACGAGTGCTACATTCCTAATATTCTATTACCAAAACAGCTCTGTTGCCACCTTCCTGCTGAGCCACACCAGTTAGGCACACACAATTAACATATCTGTACGCTGATCAAAAGCATATGCTCATATAAAGCCAACGAAGTCAGAAAAACATAAGAAAGAGACACACAGAATCAGTGATGTGGGCACATGGGACTGTCGCCTTCCTCCCTAAGGAGAAGGCAGTGGGGTGGAGGGAAAGAGATGTGGAGGGTGGACAGAGGGCAGGTTCACAAATTTGGCATGTCACATGGTCAAACAGGGGAGATTTACGACTGATCAGGTTCCTCATCACCAGCATGGTGTTGTGGCTTCAGAATGCCAGGTATGGGAGTGAGATCAGACTCCAGCTTTAGTTTGTTCACCCTTTCTGGCAACTACAGCCGGCGTGACCGGCTGAAGATGGCAGCGTCACTTGTGGTTGCATGGGGGAATGTGAAAGTCTTTCATTGCCCTTTATCCGACATGTTTGAGGTGGCGTACATGCGCATGCCTCTTCAAATGCAAAAAATCATTGTTGGGGAAAAGCAGAGAATAACAGTGAGTGTACTGTGAATGTGATTAAGAGAAAACAATTAAATCAAATATAGGATGAAAGCATTTCATATAATAGAGAACAATATTGGCATGACATAGACATAAATAGATTTCTAAAAATCCACCAGATTTTTCATGCATCTCATTTTATTTCTCCCTTTGCACTCAGGATCTGTGATTTACTCACCGATGACATCATGGAGACCACAGCTATTTTTATTGGCTGGGAATGGTCCAAGTCCTCTCCATGCTATGCCACCTGTCCAAACCCCACCAGTCAACTAGCCCCTTTGAAAAAAAAAGGAAAAAAAACATAAGCACCCAAAAATGATTGAGAGTTGAAAGGCGGAATATGATACATGCATGCCATGCCACTGTCCTACGCATGTTTCACAAGTCAAATGTCTTGTCACTGCTATTAGTCTGCCAGCCCTATTTGTCTTTGTTAGTTACAGAGAATCAGTTGCGTATCCTGTGACTATAACACAAACATTATGCTTTATCACGCTCTTGCTCCAACTTTGAGTAACTTTGTTTGTAGTAATGCTTATGAATTGTGATTTGAAATACGATGTAGTTTGTCCCTATCATATCCACCATCTTCCTTCTTCCGTGCACTAATGTGTTTTATGAGTTTGCGTGTGTATTTATGTGCATGGATGTGGTTATTCCTGTCCCTGTGTTCGTTGGGGAAACTCAGTCAGAAGCCATGTGGATGGTCAGGGCTCACAGTTGAATCCTAATGCCCACATTTAAGGTATAAAAAATTTCCTAGAATAAAACCAAAAGTGCAGTCCAACTAAAAATGAAAGAAAAATAAATTTAAGAAAATTTCAAGCATTAAAAAAATGACAGTCAAAAGACAATTAGCTTGGATTCATGGCATAGTTCAGTGACCTGCGACACAAAATGTACACATCTCAGATAAATTCAATATTCATACAATCATATATTAGAATGCTGTTTTGTGTGTGTTATTGAAGACATATAAGTCTTGTTGTTGGATTTATTCTTCTTTTTCTCCTTCATAATTTTGATCAAGAAATTGACTCTAGGTCCATCTTGTGGCAGGTGAGCAAAATTACATGCCACGATCCCCCTCTTCCCCCATCCCCTTTTCATGTATAACAAGAAACAGCTTTTCAAAGCTTTTTTCATAAAATGTTAGCAGTGATATTTCCCTAATAGCCTCTACTGTACAGACACAATCCAGCGTGTTGTTGGTGTCATGTCCACATGGGCTAAAAGAAAAGCTGTGTCACTCTTTCTATCAGATCTGTCTTGGTGTTCGCTATTAAATATCATTTGAAACCTTTTTTCTACAAGAAAGCTCCTTGCACAAAGACATCCTATGATTAACAATAGAACAGAGAATACTTTGATCAAAATTTAATCCCTTTGGTCATTATTCAATGAGGGAAGATGTTACTGTCCACTGTCAGGAACATACATCAACGGCTATTTTCAGGTCTTCATATTTTATTGATATTATGATAAATGAGTGAATAAATTAACATTTTATTTCTGAGTCTGCTCATTTGCCTGACCCATCCTGTCTAGTTTGTTCACCTCCAACATATAGCATGTAAAACATCCCTCAAGTGAGCCCACCAAATCTTTACACATGCATGAACATACATGATTCAATTCATATTCATTCTAACAGTATAATTTCTATATTGAAAAACAATTTAGCGGCACGGTAGTGTTGCCTCACGGCAAGAGGGTTCCCGGCTCAAGTCCCCGGGAGGAACTGGAACCCTTCTGCATGTTCTCCCTGTGTGGCCCTGCGATGGACTGGTGTCCAGGGTGTATCATGCCTCTTGGGACTACTGGGATAGGCACCAGTCCCCCATTTGGGAACAAGAAAATGGATGGATGGATGGATTGAATTGTGTTTTCATCATTATTTTTCCATTGTAGGAGCACTATGATCAAATTACTGTTATTTTCATGTGTTTCCAAGATCTTCACAATGTATTTATTGTATCCAGTTAATTTATCAGTGATTAATTTAATTTTATTTAAATATCTTCTCCACATACAACACATTTGGATATTTTGTCTTGTAAAGCAACTATTCATGATGGATGAGAAATCTGTTTTTTTATTATTTGAACATTTTTAACTAAATACGTCAATACGGTTTGACCAGAATCTTAACATTTCTTTACACGATTACTAATATTTTAAAAAAATCGAAAACGTTCCTGTCACATCTCACTGCCAAGCACGTCTCGCGCTCCTCCGCACCGCTGCGTGGCGCCTGTTCGCTGTGAATAAATGCCATCGCGAGTTGACGAGGGCCGCCCAGCCATGTTGAGGAGTCTGTCAAGCAAACTGCAGCCCGCCATTGTGTAGAAACCAGGCTCTGTAGAGAGATAAGGGCGCTTGGCTGAAACTCCTTCCTAGTTAGACACATTCTACACCCTGCCACTTTTATTTAGGTGTAAATACAGTTACACAGGCTCCGGGGGGGAAAGACATGTCAGCCAGCAGCCTTCTTGACCAGGTAAAGACAGGTATTTTCTGAACATTTGAGAGGGCCAAATTTGTCAGCATCGCGACGGCTAGCGCGGATAGCTTAGCTCAGAGGCAGCGGCTGTGGCTCAGTTGTGCAGTAGGCCTGACCACCTGCTAAAGGAACTGACTGCTGAAAAATATATCTCTTCATCTATTTTTTCCCCTTCCTCTCTTCTCATAAATCAAACCTTCATGAATCACCTGGACCCAATCCAGAGACCGAAAGGCCAAGCTAATAAAGGTAAGGGCACAAACTGTGGAATGTTATTGACTTGTGAATGCGGATCTTGTTGCGTGCCGTGCGCCTTGAAAATCTTGCGTGCATGAATTATGCTAGCTTCTTGACGAATAGGCCTGTCTGCGTGCTGTAGATGTAAAATAGTCTTCGTTTACAATTAACATCTGCATGGAATACAGTAGCAGTTTGTTTTTAAGAGTTTTGACCCTGTTTCAGCGTTGGGTGTGCTTTACAACTCTTTAGTGTACCTCAAAATGATCCCACAGGTAGCATAACGTTAGCCATTTCTCGGCTAGCTAATGTTAAATGGCCAAATGATGCACGCCACCGTCCCTTTTTTCTAACTGTCCGGTTTTTCCAAAATTAATAAAACCAAGACCACATTGTTATTTATCGCTGCCACTCTGCGTAGGGAATAAGACATTTTTGTGACGTTAAGATACAGATGCCATCCAAACACGTTGGGCACCCTGCTAATGTTAGCCGAGTCCATCAAGTTGAAAGGACTCTTGGCGCTCGTTAACATGGAGACGCTGCTAACTGCACGCAGCTGACCACATAGCTAGTCTGCTAACGTTAGCTAGTTGCTAATTTAACCTAAAATGACACGTCTTCCGACATGCCTTTATTCTGATTTCCGTGTTTTGCCGCCTCCTTGGCTAGGTTCAGAAAGCATGTGTAAAGAAGCAGGCTATTTACTCGGGGTTTTATAATTCTATATTGGTTTAAGTTTATCTAAACCTTTCATAGAACTTCTCATCGTTACTCACATTAATGGCACCTATGGCATTAGCCTTACTCTCAAACGACTAAATCAGCTCTTGATTTATTATAAATACTATAGCCCATATTGAATAATATTTTGCCTTTGAATATGTGAGTCTGGATTTTTTTTTTTTACATTTTCACTGTCCAATTCACTGTCAGATTAATAAGTGTATTAATCTGATTCTACACTGGGCTTGATTTGTTCTATTGTGCTTTGTTACCTAAAGTACATTGATTAGACATGGTATCAGGTAAACCTTGCTCAGGTTGGTCCTGTGACACTGATATTTTTCGGGAGTGGTCCTGTTACATAAGTGTCCATGCTGATCTAGATTGAACTAACGTATGCTGCAGGTTTCCGTATGTCTCTGAAATCTGGATTGTCCTGTTTACATCAGTGTTGTTGTCTTTTCAGTGCAAAACGGAGCTGTTACCCAAAAGGATACCTTGAATGACGATGAGTTTGAGCCTTACCTGAATACTCAGGCCAGACAGGTGAGCTTTCAACCACTATTGTATTTAATTTTTTTCATTAGGTCATTTTTTACCACAATAACTAAAATATCTTCAAAATTATCCCAAATACCCCAAATGCTAAATATTGACATAAAACTACCAATACTTTAACTGAGATGTCAGTAATGGGGTTTTCCATTGGTATTTATTCAGCCCAATCCCGCATTTACTTGAACCAACTTAATTTGGTTTAGGTGGTTTTCCTTTTTATCAAAATGAGTCTGAGTGAAAAACAGGCTGACTGTAATGTCATTTGTATGCGACACAATCATGATACAACAATGAAGAACACTGGGGCAACCATATCCTGTCTGAATGTTAATGCTCAATATTTAAATGTGTATATATATATCTATACAAGTGGTCAGTAAATCTTATTCTTTCTTTTTAGAGCAATGCCTATACGGCCATGTCGGACTCGTACATGCCCAGCTACTACAGCCCCTCCATAGGATTTTCCTACTCCCTAAATGAGGCAGCGTGGTCCACAGGTGGGGACCCTCCTATGCCTTACCTGGCCTCCTATGGACAGCTGAGCAATGGGGAACCCCACTACCTCCCGGACGCTATGTTTGGTCAGCCAGGCCCCTTGGGGAGCAACCCATTCCTTGGCCAACATGGATTCAACTTTTTTCCAAGTGGCATCGACTTCTCAGCATGGGGCAATAACAGCTCTCAGGGACAGTCGGGGACACCACAGAGCTCTGGCTACAGCAGCAGTTATGCCTATGCTCCCAGCTCACTTGGCGGTGCCATGATCGATGGACAGTCCCCATTTGCACCTGCTACCAACGAACCCCTGAATAAGGCCCCTGGTATGAACAGCCTTGATCAGGGCATGGCGGGGCTTAAGATTGGTGGTGCTGGTCCAGGTGGTAATGGGGAAATGGCTCCAAAGGTGGTTGGCTCTGGCTTACCTGGTGGGGGCCCCCTTGGTTCTGTATCTTCTGTTGGACCTCCCAGCATGCCTCCGGTCTCACTTGCCCCTGCCAAGCCCACCTCTTGGGCTGATATTGCCAGCAAACCAGCCAAGCCTCAGCCCAAGCTTAAAACCAAGGGTGGCATGGCAGGTGCCAATTTGCCTCCTCCGCCCATCAAACACAACATGGACATTGGCACTTGGGACAACAAGGGCACCATGCCCAAAGCTGCCACGCCTCAGCAGGTGCCCTCTATTCCCAGCAACGGACAGCCGCCGAACCAGGCTTCCCCGCAGCCTGGAGCTACAGCTGCAGGTAACCCGCAAATGCCCCACAGCAATGGACAGCTGGTTCCAACCATTTCCCAGATGGGGCAGCATCAACTTCCACCCCCGGGTCAGCCAGGTATGGCTCCAATGCCACAGCCTCCTCCCTCCCAGGGTCATCCTCCCCCACCAGGCCAACAGCAGCAACCTTCTCAGCCTACTCGCTGGGTCCCCCCACGAAACCGAGCCAATGGTTTTGGGGATGCAGGTGGGAGTGGGGCGGGCCAGTCTCCTCCCACTCCTTCAGGTGTGGGGGTGGTCCCTGGCGTTCCATCTGAACCTCACCCTGTTTTAGAGAAATTGCGCATGGTCAACAACTATAACCCCAAGGACTTTGACTGGAACCTTAAGCAGGGCCGGGTGTTTATTATCAAGAGCTACTCGGAGGACGACATCCACCGCTCCATCAAGTACAACATTTGGTGCAGCACGGAGCATGGCAACAAGAGGCTTGATGCAGCGTACCGCTCACTGGGTGGCAAAGGGCCGCTTTATCTTCTGTTCAGTGTCAATGGGAGTGGTCACTTCTGTGGTGTAGCGGAGATGCGCTCACCCGTGGACTACAACACGTCTGCTGGCGTGTGGTCACAGGACAAGTGGAAGGGTCGTTTTGATGTGCGCTGGATCTTTGTTAAGGACGTTCCCAACAGTCAACTGAGGCACATTCGGTTGGAGAACAACGAAAATAAGCCAGTGACCAACTCTCGGGACACACAGGAGGTGCCACTGGACAAGGCCAGGCAGGTGTTAAAGATCATCGCTGGATATAAACACACCACTTCCATCTTCGATGACTTTTCTCACTACGAGAAGCGTCAGGAGGAGGAAGAGTGTGTGAAAAAGGTAAAAAAAAGAAACAAAAATGAATAAATACATATAAAAGAAATAATGGCAAATGAGAGATAAGCATGTGTGCTGTTGTATTGGGAAAAGTTCCAGTGTTTCTGTTTTTAAGGAGTGAACATGGACCTTGCTTTTGAATGAGAAAAATGGAGTATAGATTCAGGTGTTTACAACTGCGTTTAAACCTTTATTTTTACTTAGTACCTGCTTTATGTCATGGTGCCTTGTTTTAATATGGGAACCCTAAGTACTATAGACTATAGAGCACACCTGAATATAAGCCACACATACTCATTTTAGAAAAAAATATGATTTTTATATTACATATAGGCCGCACCGCTTTATAAGCTGCGGCTGGCCGTGTTGTAATAGAATATTTACGCATATATATAGATATTTACGTAGAAAAATGTTGCACATGAAGCTTTATTTTTATTTTTAAGTAAACTCCTATTTTAACATAAAGAAATGCATACCATAAATGTTTTTTTTCTTTTGAAAGAACCTATCGCAGGGTGGATAAAAAAATAATAAGTAGCCTACCATGAAAGGTCATTAAAGGCCTTCTTCAGCTTCCTCCTGCAGACCAAAATCATTTAAGTCCTGCTCTTCAGTTACCAAATTGAACAGCATTACATTGAACAGAATAACTTTCTCTCTCATGTGGTATTCATTGTTATATTTCAAAGTGGAAATATTTAGTTATCTTTAATATGAAAGTGTCTTTTTTTTCTTCTGTTTCTCAGTTACAGTAAAGACTTTTCTCTTTGTTTTCCCTTTTTTTGGTGGAGGGTGGTAAACATGTTCTCTGAACACAGTTTGATAACTGAAGGTACAAAGAAGCATTTTGCATTGTGTAATTAGTGGTTTGTTCGAATCCTTTTCTCCTTTTTAGTTAAATAAATTGGACAATTTCAGCACCATTTAGTCATTCTAGATTGATGACCTTATGTACATTAATGTATCAGTATGTAAAATGGCATGTCCCCCCCCTTTTATTTTTCTTTTTCTTTATTCCACTGACATTTGGACAACTTTGAAGCAGTGGACATGTGCTGCCTGTTGGTTCCAGTTAATGGCTTAAAAGTCAGAATACAAGAAGACCTTAAACATGAAGTTGACCAGAGTATTAAAATATTTGGAGGTTGACAAATTAAAGATTTACTGGCTTTGTCGAGACTTGCCTTCTGAAAAGAATGACTGCTTTTGCCATATTAGTAACATTCATTTGAATGTTCTTTGTCTTGGTGTTGGAAAGCTGTTAACAGTTTTTCCATTTAAGATATGTTGATTGTATTTTTTTTAAGTGTGCACAATCTCATCATGGATAACAAACAGCCCTCTAAAGCTTTTTTTATTTATTTATATATATATATATTTTAGAGCCTTTTTTCCCATTGTTTAAGCTTGTCAAATGACTCGACTTCATAGTTTTTTATTTGCATCAACTGTGGACCCTGCTAGTAAAAAAATTTTTTTGTAGGATAAATGATTGTTGTTTCCATTCAATGATTTTGTATCTTTATTTTATTTAGTAAATTAGTTTGTAAGGAATCTTTCTGGTTCCATTGATGTTGAACATCTGGCAGATATGTATAGCTTTGGTTTGAATCAGACTTTCTTCAGCTGTGATCAGTTTTCTCTCCTGTGTGTGACAGGTGGAGGTCCAAGGCAGTGAGCCATATCCCAGCAACCCCAGCAACAGGAGTCATTACAGGCTTCAGGTAACTTTCATTTTTCTCTCACTCCCTGAAGCAGTCTTAGAGATGTTTTTAATCTTTTGAACACAGCAATAATGAGTACTGGGTATTTTTTGGCATATGATTTAAGGCATTTTAATAATTAGACACATAGTTATGTGAGAGTTCTAATCCAAGCTGTGATACTTTAAATGTCAGTGTTTTCCCCGGTGGACAGATGTGTAACTCTTTCTCCTCCTTTTCCAGGAGCGCCAAGGACGAGTCAAGTAGCAGTTGGTGCTTTGGTCAAAAGACTGCAAAGGCCCCCACCCCAAAAGCCCTCTCCACCCCCAGAACATCGTTACATCAAGCTCTCTAAGAAATTCTAATAGGGGTGAAGATTTAACAACGGACAAAAAAAAGAAAAAACAACTAAATGAAGACTTTGATTTCTTTTGACTTTAAAGACTTACTTCGAACTTGTAGTAAAAAGGAAACGATTATTCATAGGACTACAACTAAATGCATAGCATCCTTAGGTGAAATCTTGTTTGCCCCACCCCCATTCCACTACATATGCTTTTTCCCTTGTATGCTGCTTTTTCTTCTTTCCTTTTTTTTTTTTTTTTTTTTTTTTAAAATGAAAGGATCATCTGTTTTTATGATCCAAGAACAGGTCTGTAAGTCTCTCACAAACACACAAATCTGATAGAAATTCATAGTGTTGGTGAATAGTGGTGTCCCAAAGTGAAGGATTGGCGGTTTGTCTCATTTTTTTGTAAGCCCCCCCCCCATCCCACCCTGGCCTCGTCTTCAAAGGATCCTTAAACCTTCAACCGGGATCCAGCGGAGATCACTCTTCAGCAGATTTTCAACACGGGCCGGTGCCAACTACGCTCACTATTGCATCTTTTGTACATGCTTGTCATGTTTTTCTTTGAGAGGACTGCAGATGTTCAGAAAACCCTCCATTTTGTTTCCCTATGTTTTGGATGGAGTGTGTAGGGGAGGTAGGGTCAGGGGTACCTGGAGAGGAACAGTAGGGAACAAGGTCGTGTTAAAATTGAGAGAAAACGTTAAGTTGATGAGCTTTGCTCACTGTATAATTTTATGGTCTAAGAAATAATGGGGCCCTCTTTTGACAGTTTTCATTGGACTTGATTTACCCTCTTTCTTTCTCTTGGATACGTTAATTGTTGCAATGGGCAGCTTTTTTTTCTTTTCCTTTTTTCCTCCATTTTCTTAAGACTTATGTGAGTGGCCTTGCCCCCACTCTTTCTATTAATCAGTTCTAAAGTAATAAATGTGGTATACTCAGCAGAACAGTGTGCATTCCCCTTGTTTGACTGTGGAAAGCAGTTTTGTCATGCAGTGTTTCTGTGCATTAACTTTTTTTTCTTCTCTCACATGGTATAAGTGGTTGATTTTTGGCTCACCCGCATATTTAGCCTGTTATCCCACCCAGCTGAGACTTCAATTTACCCATCGATACTGTGTATTTCTTTCCTCTCTGCCTTCCGATCCCTCCTAATCCTCCACACTCCCAGATCTTTGTTTCTGCTTAGCCAGTCAAACCACAATCAGCTGCATCCATTTTCAGAATGTCATTGGGTTTAAAAAGGAAAAAAAAGAAGAAAAAAAAAACTTATTTCAGAACTACTGGCTTTTATTTGTGGCATAATAAAAGTGCTCCACAAAGTATAGTGGGTTCTTCTCCTCATTGGCCATTTTTACTGACATCTCTGGCCTATTGTACCTTTTCAGTGTGTTTGTGGTTGATGTTTTGATCTAGTGGGCTGGAAAATGCATGTCAGGAATTATGGAAGTACGCAGTACATTTGTTGAGATTGTATTTTTATACAACAGCCACTATTTGTTTTTTTTGTTTGCTTTTTCTGGGGGCTTGTATTCCAGGCACCACCAATTTACCTATTTATCAGTTATATGTGTAAGCTACTATTCATGCTGCTTAGTTTTTATTTTTATTTACTATCTAATTGTGAACCGGTTAGATGCATTAACTCTGGGACAGGGATCTTTAATATGACCGAAGGGCCAGATTTGGTGTTATTTTAGATGAGTGAACATCATAGCTTCTAAGGCTAAAAATGCCCTCATACATTTTTAAGCCTTTGTAGAATTTAGCTTGTGTCCGCCATTTTCTGGCCTGGTAGAACGGGATGTGATAAAGGACGCGGCCACCAGAGGGCGACAGAGACCCCTTCACTGCTCACAGGGCTCGTCTGTTCCAACACACGGCCCCATAAAGGCCCCGTGTAATCACGTTAGGGCTTCAATGCGTTCCTTAGTTTGGGTTTTATTTGTGGCTGTAGATTATTTACTCCGTTTAAGTATATTTGTCTTTCATGACCTACATTTTCCTCGTGCTTATGTTTCTATTGCACAAAACGCGTGAGACTACGTCTTCTCGCGGCTCTTAAGTGTATTAAGTAAAAAACCGGAATTTACGGAGTCCTTGTGAATTGAAAAAAATCTGAATACGTTAAAGCACGATAATCCCGTTTGGTCTTCTGTGGTCCGACCTTTAGTCGTTTCACATCATTCCTCGGTTCATAATTCTAGTAAATGGTAAAGAGGCCCACGTGAGGCGGTAACCGGACCAGACTGTGTCTAACGGTCCGTTCAGACGCAAACAGGAGTTCACCAAGCCGGGACGAATCTTCACAAAACTTCACGTCTGAGGCAGAGACAAGTTCTCGCGCGTGCGCGTGCTTGTTCCGAGCGTGTGTGGCTGGCGACCGACGGCACGTGCCGCGTGCGCGTGGAGGGTGCGTGGCAGGCACGCTGCCTGGAGGGGTTCTGCCGTGACCCCTATTCGCGCGTCCCTGGGGACGCCTGTTAGCCCCTCCTGGGATGCAAATGAGCGGCCATGGGAGACGCCAGGCTCCCGAGACGACCGAGGAGAAGAAAGGGAGAGTGGAGGAGGAGGAGGAGCGCGCGCGGAGCCGCGTGCGTGCGGGAGATGGAGGGAGACGAAATAAAGGTGGTGACGGACGGCCGTGGTCGCGTGCGCGCTGAAGGACTTCCTTACTTTCCACTAGCTCAGTATTGACTGTGTACCATGCAGGGGTCACTTGAAATATCATAGGCCATTTTCTCTTTATCTGACTTTAGAAATGCATCATACACAGAGAATGGAAAGGATTTCCAAATAAAACTGTGTAGAATAGTCAGAATGCAAGTAGATTACCCATTCAAGAGATTATTATCCATTTTCCTTTCAAACGAGCATATAAGCCTGCATTTCTTTCACATAAAGCAAACATTTAACATTTTTTTCTCTGATGTTACATCCTTTGAAGAGGGCTGTTCAGTCAGAGGCTTCGTGCTAAACGAGTGGTGTCTCTGGCTTCATGTTGCACTGCAAGGTCATGGTTCTGCTTTATTCTCCCCTCATTATCATAAGGCATCCATCTCTTTCTTCCATTAGTGACGCTTCACCATGTCGCCAACCCGACATCTATTTACAAGACTAAATTAGATTTCTTCTATTTTCCAGTATTTTGTATGAAAGGAAGGAAAGGCTCCTCTGCATATAAAAATGTGAAAGCAAAAAAAGTGCTCCACAGAATCCATATGTTACCTGAAATTGTGTATTTAAAATAAAAGCTGCACAGGCTGTTGTGCTAACTATAACATTTAAGTATGTATTCATATAATCAGTTATTGGGCTCTTTCTAACATTATTTAGCAGATATTCGAAATTAAACACATATTTTTTGTGTATGTTAGAAATAAATATGCAATGAAATGCTAAAAGTGAATATAGATAAAAACATGTCATTTCCTGGTCTGTAAATTCACACTACTTAATTTTCTAGGTTTATTCGGTGTGTTATTTGAAATCCACAGCAGCTTAAATAATATGTGTACTACTTATGTACAAAAATATGACATGATGATGAATGTTTTTATCAGGAGAGAGATGGTGTGTACGCGGTCACCTGCTCTCTATCTCCAGGGGTCCTGCACTGTTGGTGTATTGTCTGTTACCCCCTCATTTCTTTAAGTCTCTTAATTGTATTGAGTGTTTTCAAAATGCATAATGTATAGACAGGCAACGGGGCCAAAAAGCAGTTGATGACCTCTGTCTCAACATATGTGGCACTCACCCCCTGCACACTAATTGTGTTAGTGTCAGGCATATCAACATAAAGCAGATATAGGTGGAATATAAATTATATGCATATGTTTTAAAGCTTTCTCTTAAAATATCCATATCCTAGATTCTGAACACACTCAGCTGAAAGTTTGTGTTTTAATGTGATGATGTGATGTGACTAAAAACTGAGCCGAATTTTTAACACAACGGCAGAAATGTCAGTAGAAAGAATTTGAAATAGGCTGAAAGGGATTCATACAGTCATTTGCAGCTTTTTTTCGTGCGTGTGTGCATTCTGCCTCCATCATCTCAGATGTAGGTCAGCTCACATCTCTGTTGCCTGCAGCAATTTGCAGCTTGAATCATTTGATGCAGCACTGTGATTATAGGAGGAGAATTGACGCTCATTATTTAAATTACTTGACGCTTTGGGCTTTTTTTCTTTTCTTTTTTTACTTTGACAAGAAACACTAGATACCACAGATAGAAATGCAATCCATGAAATGACTTCTTTATTGAGATGTTTCGCAGAACAAAAAACTCCAACAAACAAAAACTCTCATTTGAAATTAGTAAAAATTGTATTTCATGGTGAATGGAAATTTGTTCATTGGAAATATATATACATACGCACGGTTGAGCGATTGAGGAAGTTGCTAGATTTTATGATGGGACTAATAGCGGAGGATATTTAAAATTCTCCAGCAGCCCAAATAGCATATTCTTTCTGTTTCTCCTCTGTACCCATGCGTAAACACACAGACCTTTGAAGTGGCCCTCTGTCACCACATGGTAAATCCCCCTAGTGTGATCCCTCTGTCCATTTGGCCGCAGCAGCAGCACTGGTAGACTGCCTACAGCTCTGTTTGTTCTGACATTATGGAAACCAGTATATTAACAAACTGGTGCCCGCTGATAATGTCGTCGGTGGTTCTGCAGTGTTCCCTCCACGTCTTAACAATGTAACCCTCCCTCGTTTGCCTGATCTGTACATCTGTCTGAGGTCACTGTTCTGTAAGTTTCCCCCCAATGTGCATTCTCCTGTGTCTCTTGTTAATCTCATTGGATTGCCAGGAACATCCACTCATCGGCAGGCACCACTCCTGCCCGGTAGCTTAAATGCTGGTGTCTCAGGTGAGCGAGGACTGTGGTTTCTCTCTTGGCATTCACCGCGTGCCTTAATTGTATTGAAATTAAATCAAGGTCCACTGTGAACACAAAGAGCTCAAACCCAAACTTACAAATCCTTCTG